CGTAAATCTGGTCCGCGGATCGTGTTCCAAACAGGTCTGGCCGAGTTTAAACGCGACGCCGTGTCAACCGCCGGTCAAAGCGAAGGAGAATCGCGAGAGGTAAGCCTTCTCTCGTTAATAGCCGTGCGGTGGGCCGTCCGCTGGCAGGATCGTAATATCTGTGACTTTGGCCGGGAAAGAAGGCTTGTCTATTTTAACGGGTCAGAGAGAGGAGACAAGAGGAGAGACGAGACCGTGAGTGTTGGAGCGAGACGGTAAAAGGAGGGGGAGAGACGGAGAGGGACAATAAAGACAGACTCTTTTGCGCTCGTTCTTTATTTCGAGGGAGGGAGGGGGAAGAGAGAGATAGAATGAGGAGGAGGAGGGACAATTTATTTGCGGACCCTTGCAGCACTGTGTCAGTGTGCGAGAACTACTTTTCCTCCTACTCTTTTTCTTTCGCGCTCTCTCGCTTTTTCTTCTTCCTCTTTCTTTCCTTTTTCCTTCTTCTTTCCTCTTCGATCCTCCGTTTCGACAACGCGCGTTGGACAGTGTCATTGTCGTCGCAACGTAGATTAGATCACGCGAGAAAACGAGCGTGGAGAATTTCAATTTGGTGTCTGCGTCGTCTCTTTGCGGGATGACGATTTTGATGCTCGACAGGATCCAGCGTTGGACAATTCTTTGGCGTAGGGGGAAATGGAATCCTTTCTCCCAACGAAAGGATATTTCGTATAAAAACATTTTTTTTCGTTTATAAGTCTTGACGGCCTTGCTGCGAAATCACGATCATGGTTTTTGAAACACCTTTGGCGTCCAAGGTTATTTCTATACCTTGGAAGAAATTTTTCCATTTATAATAATCTGAGACAAATTACGTATACATTTGATATTTCCATTTATCGAGTTAGTATCGGAATCAAATATAGCTATATTTATCTTTTATTTCTGAGAATTATGATATGCAATTTTAAATATCAGCGTTGAAAAAGTTATACATACACTTTAGATGGTTCGAAAGTTAAAAAAGAGAGTTTTTGGTAAGAGGCAACGAACGTGATTCATTTTGCCGATTGCACTGTCGAAGAAAAAGTGGCGGTTTCTTGGAAGGAGGAATCGAAAGAGAGAAGATATTACGCGGTTTTTTGTATCGACGAGATTCGAAGCATATGTGTGAGACCGATCTCCTAATGGCGAATATTTTCACACGTTCCCCGTGTGATCATCCTCGTTAACGAAGATCTATTTCTGGCCTTTTCTTTTTTTTATCTTAAATCGTTTTATGCACCTATACGTGTATTTTTTTTATCTTGCATATCTCGTAATTTTTTTATTTAGTTTGACGTTCGATAAACTCGAACGTTAAAAAATGTAAATATAAATAGGGATTTATCCTTCTCCAAGAAAATTATTGAGATTTATTTGTTCCACTTTGTTACGAGCAATTATATATATGTCTCTTATTAGAACATTATATCGTATCGATCAAGTACCGTTACAATACCGTAGATACGAGCTTTTCGAAAATAAAACTGAACAATTCCAATGTTTAAAAACTTTTAAATTTTAATTCCAAATAACGCACATATATCTATATACATATATAAAAATTAACACGAGTAGAAAGAAAGTCATAAATAACGAGAGAGATGAGTGAATTTTTATTATCCAAATTTTAGTATTATAATTAATTGTATCAGAATTATTTGCCTCGGGATTCAGATAAATTCAGATAAATGAGATCGGTTTTATCGGTAATTATAAATAATATTTATCTGAAATTCTAGTAATATTATAATCACACGCATAATGTACGACATTTCATAATGTTATCGTGTGGAATAAAAAGGAAAAAAAAAAAAAAAGAAAAAAAAAGAAAGACAAGATAAGCGAGCGATTCAAAGAAATATTATATTGTTGTGGTAGTGAGCAAAGGAATTTCTTAATAGCGTACTTGATCTATATTTTCGACTTCTAAATCTATCTATTACACAGCATGGAAGAAAATCGAATGAGACGAATAATTCGAGGGCAAGAAAATATTTTGGCACGTGTCGCGTAAAGTCGATGAAAACCAGCATAAAGTTTGCTATTACAATGTTTCTTAAATAACGTTTGTTACGTAAAAAGATTGGCAGACAATGTTGGCCAAAATTTAAATAAATATCGAATGAGGTTGAAGTTTAATTCCTATGTATCTTTATTATTTTTTAATTAGAAAAGTATAACAAGAAGCACGATACTTTGATAAGATAAAAATATTTTAAATGAAATTTGTCATTGTTCCAACCTCTTGTTCACTTTTTAAGCAATCCTTAAGCTTTTAAATCGCGAAACTCTTAAAACGATCGATAAACTGTCGATCAAAGTTTTGACAACAACGAAACAAGACAAGAAAAACATTGGAAAACTTACGTTTTCGATAGATGAATCCCACAACCATTTCCACTCGTCAAACTATATCCATGCCACGATAAAATATTCAACTTGATCGATTCTCTAACGTCGACACACTGTCTCGGAAAACAAGAGATATTCGGATCACGATCGTTTCGCTACGATAATTACCTTAAAGACACTCGCGATTATCTTTATCAACGGAGATATTAAATGGTAAAAATAGCGATAACGGTGAATAACTTCCTCAAAGAAGGCAAAGATATCATTGATCATCGTTAGATGTTGATTTATGTTCAATTACAAAATTAATTTAAAAAACAAAATAAATTTATTAAAAAATTTGTGAAAATTTCTCGTTTAATTCTCATTTAAATTATTATTATTATTAATATATACTTAATTCTTGTTAAAATCAATTTGTATAAATTTCTAAGTCAATCTAGAGTTAAAAATGTCTCATCCATCGAGCTTCAAAAACTAATCATATCTCGTGATAATTCCATCGAAAAATTTTACAATAAAAAATAAAATTATACTTTTTTCCCTCACAGTTGTTCTTCTTTATAACTCAAAATTCTCATTCAATTTTCAATTCACTTCCAGCACGAACGAAAATCAAATCGTAGAGCATCTCTTCAAAAGCTATATTTTCCAATGATTCTATCGAAAGCTCTCCCTCATCCTCCTTTATAATTCAAAATTCTCATTTCAACCTTGACCTGTCCAATTCCGAAATACGAGAAAAAATCAAATCTAAGTCAGAGTTAAAAATATCTCATTTATCGAGCTTCAAGAACTAACTATACCTTACAATGATTCTCCCTCTATTCTCCCTCATTCTCCTTCATAATTCAAAATTCTCATTTCAATCTTGGTCAATTCAGTTCCAGTGAAACACGAGCAAAAATCGAGCCGTAGAACATTTCTTCAAAAACTATTCATCTAATTTCGAAAATATACTTTCCAATGATTCTATCGAAAGCTCTGTCAAAATTCTCATTTCAATCTTGGCCAGTTCCAACACGAACGAAAATTAAATCCTGCATCTCTTCAAAAACTATTCATCTAATTTCGAAAACACCATATCTTGCAATTTCTATCGAAAACTCTCATGATTAAAAAATAAAACTATTCTCCCTTATCCTCCTTTATAATTCAAAATTTTTATTTCAACTTTAGTCAGTTCAGTGGAACACGAGAAAAAAATCAAACCGCAGCTCTTCAAAAGCTATCCATTTAATTTCGAAAATGCAATAGTTTTCAATGACTCCATCGAAAGCTCTCCCAATTAAAGAATGAAACCATTCTCCCTTGTCCTTCATAATTCAAAATTTTCATTTCAACCTTGGTCAGTTCCAACACGAACGAAAATTAAATCCTGCACCTTTTCAAAAGCTATTCATCTAATTTCGAAAACACCATCCCTTGCGATGACTCTAACGAAAGCTCTCATCATTAAAAAATAAAATTATAAAAAATATTTTCCCTTATCCTCCTTTATAATTCAAAATTTTTATTTTAAATTCGAGTTAATGGAACACGAGAAAAAATCAAACCACAGCTCTTCAAAAGCTATCTAATTTCGAAAACGCAATACTTTCCAATGACTCCATCGAAAGCTCTCCCGATTAAAGAATGAAACCATTCACCCTCTCCTTCATAATTCAAAATTCTGATTTCAACCTTGGCCAATTCAGTTGCAGCGGAACACGAGGAAAAATCAAGTCGTACATCTCTTCAAAAGCTATTCATCTAATTTGAAAACACCATACTTTGCTATCTCTATCGAAAACTCTCACGATTAAAAAATAAAACTATTCTCCCTTATCCTCCTTTATAATTCAAAATTTTTATTTCAACTTTAGTCAGTTCAGTGGAACACGAGGAAAAATCAAACCGTAGCTCTTCAAAAGCTATCCATCTAATTTCGAAAACGCAATACTTTCCAACGACTCCATCGAAAGCTCTCCCGATTAAAGAATGAAACCATTCACCCTCTCCTTCATAATTCAAAATTCTGATTTCAACCTTGGCCAATTCAGTTGCAGCGGAACACGAGGAAAAATCAAGTCGTACGGGATCCCTTGGATCAAAAGCTAAATTAGGATCAAGCGTAACACGTGCGTCGGCCGGTTTTCGCACGTGCGCGCCCCTCTAATCCGTGTACCGGGGCCGGGTTTGCCCGGCGAAACGTGAAAACAGATGCATATTCATGAACCGGCATGGCGTCCCAACCCTCCTCGCGCGACAGATCCCAGCCTGTTCCTGACACCGCATCCCCGCTTCATACAGGATCTGCAACATTTGCCCCTATGCCCTCGCATGGACGCCGATAGGGTCGAGGAACACGGCGACGTCTAAACGCCGTCATCCTTTATGACGGACCGTCCGGCCTCGCGTATCCGCCGACCTGGCTCCGATCTCTCTGCTTTTGATGGAACAACGTTTCGGAGGGAGGGTTCCAGACTGATCCCTGCACGAGAGTTGCGAGTTTCGCGACGAACATGATGACGACGATGATGACGACGAGGGATTTTGACGAACTTTGATATAAGATAGTTGATGTGGGATTGAAATTGAAAATCTTGGTTTATTTGTGAATATCGTAATATTTTTATTAGAGGTTGCAGGAACAATCGTAGATGCAATATTAGGATCATTGTATCCACATTGTTTCGTGAGATGTTCGTGAATATTCCGTTTGTCGATACTACTGTTTTATGTGAATATTTTTAAAGATGAATTTGGCTATGATGTACATGCTTATGTTTATTTTAAATTAATTTCGCGAATAGATCGATATATTATTGCCTTCTAAATTGAAAACGAAAATTGTTTGCAAACGAGTTCGAGTCAATCTAACCTAAGCTAACCTCTTTCATTGTATTTCTCGATCTATTTGCAAACAGCAAAAAGAAAAAAAATCTCTAATAACACAATATATCGACGAACTTTCTGTACCAACTGTACCTCTAATCATTCCAAACTTTCGCTGTACGAAACATAAAAAAAGGAAAAAAATTGGAGAGAGAAATATATATATATATATAACAAGCACGGTTAGATTTAAAAGTTTCGACATTGAAGTACGAGGGTTGCAGAACGGAAGGGTTGCAGATTACCCCTGCAGAAACTTTTTTTTTTTTTTTTTATGTTTCCGATACTTTTAGTCCCGCGTGGCCGGCCGCCAGTCACGTTTTTCCCATGCACGTGACTACACGAGATCGCGAATGTTTTCTCCCTTTAGGACCCACGTGCAACCCGGCGTATAAAGTTTACTTTAATTCAAGTCTCCCCGGTCATTGATTAAATCCGAATACCCTGGAAACATCGTGCACGCATCGTGGAGAAATTGAGAGAAAAAAAAAAAATAATTAAACAACGCGTTTCGACGTTGTTTGTTTCTGCAAATTGCTTGCACTGTTTTTAACGAAATTTCAGTCTCGAACCCCAAAAAATGCGGATAAAATTTCTTCTAATTTACGTATACATAAAAAAAGATAGATATTTTCTCGACCAAAAATCGAGAAATACAGAAGAGATGTATTTCATAGATCATTATATGAATCGAATTTTGATAATAATATTTCCTCCAATAAAATGGAGATATTATTTATCAAGGATGGAAAAACGAAAAAAAAAAATGAGAAATTTTGAAAGAAGGGCGCATAATTAAAAAAAAATTCCAATGAAGTGGAGATATTATTTATCAAGGAGGGAAAAACGAAAAAAAAAAACAGAAAACTTTAAAAAAAGGAACCCCCAAATTAAAAAAAAAAAAAAAAAAATTTAAAAAAAAGGAGAAAAATAAAAAAAAAAAAAAAACAAAAAAAAAAAATGAGAAATTTTGAAAGAAGGGCGCATAATTAAAAAAAAATCCCAATGAAGTGGAGATATTATTTATCAAGGATGGAAAAACGAAAAAAAAAAATGAGAAATCTTGAAAGAAGGGAACGCATAATTAAAAAAAAAAAAAGAAAGAAAGAAAGAAAAATGCAAATTACTTGGATCGAAAATTTTCAGATTCACATTTTCATTTCTCTAACAACGCCTCCCAATGACAGAAAGAGAGAAGAGGAAGGAATTCCATCTTCCGAATTGTGAAACACGCACTTTTAGCACGAGCAAATACTACCCACTATGTACGTATCTCCTCGTGTCCTATTTTCACGGAGGAGATCCTATTCGAGCCTCGAAGATCCAGCGGGAGGAGCGTGTAACGGATAAAGCGGTCGAATCTCGACAAAGCCTATACCGCGGATACAATATCCACGATGGGGATGGAAAAGGGAAAGAGCACACGGAACGGGCAGAATTTAATCACATTTCGATCTGGCGCACGTTCTTACCATTCCTCTTTGCCACCCCCACCAAACTTCCTTTCTTTCCGCGGACAAAGTCGTCCAATCTCCTTCGAGCACCGGTTGTGGACCTTTGCACGACACACCATAGAATTATTTCAATGAACCAGCCCGTCTAGCTGGAAATTTAATGAGAGTTCGCTTTTCACAGGGAATTCCCCCAACGGAGGCCGCGGATTTATTATTGACCGGGCTCGCGATACCGTTCGATCTACCGACGACACAATTCCTCCTCTTCCGTTTCTGAGTTACGTGGTGGTGTTAACC